ATCATTCCCTCACGAATCTGTCATTCCCTCATTTTCAAATTTTTAAAAAATTTTTATATATTTAATTCAAACTCAAAAAAGTTGGGGACCACTATAATATTTTCCTCAAACAAGACATATACTACGACTTGAGCAAAAAAAATTTGATTACGAGTTAAAAAAAAATTGATCAACTCGATAAAGCCATTTTCGATTTTTTTTTGAGAACTAGCCATATATATAATTAAATAAAAAAAATAATACTAATTAATTTAAAATAATAATAATAATAATAATAATAATAATAATAATAATAATAATAATAATAATAATAATAATAATAAACGTGAATTATCAATATGTGTGCATAAATTCTGCATTAATTCAGCATTAATTAAACATTTTATCATTGCATATTATTAAGCAAATTTGTAATATGATTAAAAGATTAATTATCGTATTATACGAGAGCAAATAATATTTGCATCGGTTAATTATGTATAATATTGTCATTGTTGAGATAACAAATAAGATAAATCGATTATCAGTACAAGATAATCATTTGCACGTTCATAAACTAATGTAAGGTAAAACTCGGAAAGGTTTTTTTCAATTTAATCACGTTTTAATAAACATTTTCGATTTATACTCGGAGAATTAATTGCACAACCTAACTATAACAAATTTATTTATTTATATTAGAATTAATTTTCATCTTTCATTTTATCCTCACGATTTGTTTAATCAATTGATATATTTACGTGCAATATCATGCTCGAATGTTATTTACAATAATTTACGCGTATACACGACAGAAGATTCTTCTTTTCCTTTATTTTGCTTTTATCGTTTTATTATTATTTTTAGAAATATTTGCGATCAATTAAAACTGTATATTGGTGAAGATTTTTTATTTATTACACTATTCTTAAACGAAATTTATGTTAGATGTAAAAAATATTCACTGATCGATGAATTGATCATTGGAGACAATAAAAAAATAAAATAAAAAAAAATTGTAATTAAAATTATAAATAAATGGCAATAAATAAATATGGCAATAAATAAAAAGTGTCATTCATTGAAAGAATATTTAATCTATAGGATGATGGTGAAACTTCTAATCATAATCAATGATGCAACGATTCTTAGTTTTGGATAACACATTCTTAGTATCTTAATCCTAATATTTTTTTCTTTCTTTCTTCTATCTAGGATATAAATGAGAGTGGGAGAATGTAAAGAGAAAACCCATACGAAAAACGAGTTTTATTTATATGTATACAAGGTGAGTCGGTAGGTAGGAATTCTTATTACGAAAGAGAAGTATATGAACGATGGCTGACTAAGCAACAAATTCAGATGTAAAAAGCCTTGAATATTTACAAAAAATTATCAACGATAGAAAATATCTAGGTAATTATTATCTTTTACAAATTTACATGTACAAACAAAAATATTATACAAAGAGATACGTCAGAGAAATATTATTTAATATTCTTATTAATATATCAAAACGAAATTCTTCTATTTATTTATTTATTTATTTTTTTTTTTAAATACTTTGAAATATTGTATAATATCGTAGATAGTATCGATTGATATAATCTGTTCAAAATCTTTATAGAAAAGGTTGTTGTTATTTTTTCGTTAGACAAAAGTTACATTACAGATAATACATGTAAAAAAAAAAAGAAAAGAAGAAAAAAATAAAAAAAAAAATGTTGAATTTACTTCTATGGGAATAGGAATACCGAGTAATAATCATAATTGTATATGAAAATACAGTGTGTGTATGCTTCGAGCATGCAAACGGTAAATACACAGGAACGTCGATGATCTTGACGTGTGACGAATTTTAATAAAACCTCCGGAACGATAATCACTCGTCGTCCCCTGGGCCAATTAGCGAGTCGTATGGAATATAGACATGCATGGCCAAGGACAACAACGCAACTCTAATCGATTATGTGAAATTCGATGTTGGTAATTGGTCATTGCTATTTTATCTCTGTTACCTAGTTTTTCTTTTGCATATGCAAAGAAAAGTTCAGAAGCTTTGTCTTTAACAAACCTTTTTAGAATAAAAACTATTCAAGATTTTTTCCGAATATCTACAAAGAAGAAGAAGAATAAAAAGATGATGATGTATGTATGTATGTATATAAGTAAGTATGTATGTATCTATTATTATTATTATTATTATTATTATTATTATTATTATTATTATTATGCTGGAATGTTAATTGTCGATGACGCAATTTTTTCATTATTTTTCTTATCATTGTTTAATAGTTTTTCTTTTTTATTTTTATTTTTCTCGCTTTAAATAAAATTAACATTAAATCTTAGCAACTATTGCGTCGTGTCATTTGTCAAAATGTGATTATAAATTGTACAAAAAAATTGATTTGCTTATTTATTGAGAAACCATTTAATGAAATGCATTATACGTGTAATGACCATAGAATAAATAAAGTGCACATAGGTCATTCCAAATAAATTTCAATGATTTTGTTTTAGAATACTAATCGACAATTTATCATTCTTTCTTTTTTCTTTTAATTTAAAGTACAGATTAGTTATTTTTTTTTTATAATATTAAACAATAATTTATGATAATCTTGTTGATAATAATAGGACATCTTAAATGTTATTACTTTTATATTACTTTTTATTTTTATCGAGAATAAAAAAGAGAATAAGAAAAAAAGAAAGAATGGATACGTTCTTCTCGTAAATTTTCTACAAACATAATAATATCACTGAGAATAATTATATCTTACGTTTTCTTTTACACCATAGTTACGTAAAATAGTCGGTAAGATTCTCATAAAAGTTAAGATATCCGGATTCTTTTGAATCATTCTTTTTCTTTATTTTCTATCTTGCAACGTTACGAAGGTATAGGTAGCCCTCCTACAACACGGTTTTCTTTCAAAAAAAAAAAGAAAAAAAAAACCTTTTTACAACACTGTACTTCTACAGCCGTGGTGAGGCTTGCCATTTTAAAGATATAGTTTTGCGGAAAGTATTTTGCGGAAAACAAACGTGTCTTACGCTGTTGTAAACTGARAACATCAACTTTACATACGTGTTGAAAGAAGATATGGTCTTCTTCAGTTGAAATATAAAACGTGCGTGAATCGTCACAAAATGAAATTGGTAGCATATTAGAACTTGCTAGATCAATCGGAGGTGAAGGTTTTGTGGATATGGTTATTGAGGACGTTCAAAGTTTATTAGTGGAAGAAGAAGTTGACGAAGCAGATTTGATGGAAATGGTATCCGAAACTGTAAATCAAATTGTTCCTGAGGACACTAGCACTGATGAAGATTACGCAGTTAATAAGTTAACATTAAAAAAATTACAAGAAGCCCTAAGCTTAGCTGAAAACCTCGAGTCATTTTTCTTAAATGCAGATTTTTTCGCAGAAAGGAGCCGAAAATTCAAAAGGGAGCATCAAAACTGTCTAGCTCCATATCGAGAAATTTACAATGACCTGGTAAGAAACAACAAGCAAAGTAAAATTACAGATTTTTTAAAGTGGGAAGAAGATGCAAGAACTTTAAATGAAGAAAAACTTTCTGAAAATAAAGGCGATATCATTCCACCGAAAAAACGTTCTCGGTTGATTGCATTGAGCAGTGACGACGAAGAAATTTATTAAATTAAAGTTGCGTTTTTAATTAAGATAATATTTTTTGTCTATATTTTTAATAAAAATTAAGTTGTTTATTTAAAACAAAACAAAATATTTGTTTTTAAAAAGTTTTCGGAACGTAACCCCCCCTTTTTGCATTGACTTTGGGTCTCATACAACACGGTTTAATACAACACGGCATTTTCTAGGAACCTATCTACCGTGTTATAGGAGGGTCACTTGTATAATACTACTAATCGATATTACTGTATATAAACATTATGTTTCAGGGAGTATTCTGGTCTGGAGGCATGAATTTTAGATACTTTTTCAAGTGTAATAACAAAAAGACGAATAATATTTTCACTATCTATAATTTTACAAGATATTTATTAATATTTCAAGAATACATGAAAAAAAGAAAAAAATAGTGAAATATTTAAAATTGAAAAAGATATAGGCTGATGAAGTGAGGGGTCCTAAAAAAATGATGCACGACGGTTGTCACGATTGCAGCTCTTCTAGTAATCCGAAATAAAAAAATAAAAAAGATTATTAATTTAGAATAGTGCCGCTATCGTGCTAACTAAAAAAAAAAATGAAAATAATTTTTTTTTCGCTAAATTACGGTTGTCTGAAAAAAAGATACATTACTTTTACCACTTTTTGTACTTTTCCGAATTTTTTAAAAATAGTGGAAATTAAAAATTGTCGTAAGAGTTTAGTTAGTACGATAAAGAAATGCATAGAAAAGACTCATATCAAATTTCAAGTAAATCGGTTAAGTAGAATTTGAGATATCATGGCAACCGTGAAAAAAAAACAGTTTCGAAAAAAACGCGTTCACAGTTTCCCGTAATAAGGGTAGGATATAGGATGCAGCATCACCAAAACAGCTATATCTCCGAAAATAATTTGAATTTCGAAAAATCCTCTTAAGGACATATCCTTAAAAGGTTAAGCTTTGAAAATATGAAAAAAAGAAGATTTTTTTCAAATTTCTAGACCAGAATACCTCTTAATGTAAACGATAGTTTTTCACATCTTCTTTGTCACCTTTTGTTTTTTGTTATCCCCTTCATATTTTTTTATATCTTTGCTAAATGGTATTTGTGTCAGGGTAATTTTGTAGTGTGTTTTTGTTATCATAAATTTCTATTAAGGGTTCATTCTGGTTTATAAGTCGAAAAAAAGGCTATTTTCACGATTTTTTTTAGGCTTTGTAGGATACATATACATATATAAGTTGTTGGGTATGATAAATACACTCTAGAAGTACGAGAAAAAATTTTTTTTTATTGTTTTTAACATTTTTTGACATTCAAAATGGCTGACAAACGTGAACCCTTCAAAAGTAGGTATGCTGTTGGCGGGCATCGAAATTTGAGAACGGGTGATCTAAAACAAAAAAATTAAACGGTTTTAAACTCAGTATGATAATGGCTATCGGGTATGCTAAAACTTTCAATTTTTAAGAAAACAAAACAAAACAAAATGACGGCTATTTTTCGAAAAAAAAAAATTTTTTGTAAAAAAAATATAGTAAAAATTAATATTTTGTCTTGGTTGTAGCATGCGAGATAGCCATTCATGTTTACAGTATGTGGTTAAAATTTCAAAAGGATCGGTTGAGTAGTTTCGGAGATATCATGCCCGCCAACCGAAAAAACGTTGTTTCGAGAAAAACGCGTTTAAAGTTTCTTTTAACAAATTTTTAAAAAGTCTGACATTACCTTATTCTGCGATGCCTGCACCATACAGTATGCCTTCTGCTTCTTCAAAATACTCATTTTCTTCCACTCTAGTCTTTTTTCGTTGTGTCCTGGCCTCTATCAAAGATTCTCCGCTCAAACGATTGGCTGAGCGCACACGCGTGTTGTCGCGATTACTAGCGTAATTGACTGCGATAGGGCCAAGTTTTATCCCCAAAACGTGCATTATTTTCAGTATTGGATCAAAATCTTCGTTGAATATACATGCTGCCAATTTACAAGCTATTTCAAACATTTTTTTTACCATTAATTAGGTGTTTAGGCACCATAGCCCAAACGCATTTGTTGAAGCACTCATTATTATTTTGAGTGTGGCTACCTAAACATCTTTCAAGTAATTCTGTTTTTGTCAGATCAACATCAACCTTTTGTTTTTTGCAGCTATATTCATGTAGAGACATTTCCACTTACACAACCGCAGATGGTTTGTCTCCTCTCTCTGTAATATCTCTATGTGTTTGGGTCGCAAAATAATATACTTAGACTGCTCGGATCGTTCAAAAATTTTTGTATGATAATTCTACATATGTCTACTTTCGAAAAATGCAAAAAAAAAAAAATTGATTTTTTCAAAATGATAAACCAGAATAAACCCTTAATGCATGATTATTATTAGATCTGATAATTAATTCATTACGCTTGAATTTCATTTCAAAGAAAAGAAAAGAAGAAAGTAAATTTATTTTATTACGTGTAATATTTTGTTTAAAATGAGAAAGAAGAAGGGAGGAAGGGGATCAAGTTTTACAAGCAAACAAACAAAAAAATCAATGAAAAACATTTCTATACATCTAATATAATATTTTCAATTTTTAATGTCGAATCATTATTGTAAAGTGGGTCAATTGAAAGGTGTGTGTTGGTCGATGTCTGCTTCGTGGTTCGTAGCTTTGACCTTTGTCCTACAATGTTCACAATTCAATGCTCAATTATTATCATGTCATGGTAAAAAAATATAAATATAATAATTAACAATTAATAATCTTATATATCCTTCGAAAAAAAAATATTTAATAAATTTCACAACTTCTGTATACAAACGTTAATTAAAATAGGTACGGTAAGGTAATATAAAAAATGTAGAAAATAAAACAATAAGATCAATCGGAAAGAAGAAGATGAAAATATGCGATTAAAAAGAATGATGGTTTTTTGAGAGATTATTATTTGACTCAATAAAGAATCAAAGAGAGAAAGAGAGAGAGAGAGAGAAAAATCTTTTGTTTGCCACCCATATGACAGCCAACATCGTAAACACTACGCATTGAATTTAAAAGGTTTAGTGGATGGAAAAATAAGTATTGTCGAGTTCTAATGGCGCTTGTCACGAGTGATCGGTACGATCGTAACGATGGAACGCAATCGGAATAATTATGCCTGGTTCTTTTGTTTCATCATACAAATGCGAACCGTTCTACGGTCGTTCATTCGAACTTTTCATAGTCCAATAGGTTATTTACTTTCGAAGAATTCCATTTAAAACGTATCATGTTTTTAACCACGCAATTCTACACGTGCTCTAACAAAAGAAACAACAACACATACAAAAAATAAAAAAATATATATATATATATCTTAATATCACCTTTGATCGTGAGACTTGACAAAATTTGTATTTATAATTTTCTTTTACAATTCTATTCTTTAAAATATACACATGTATATGCAGATTTATGCGTTTCTTTTCTGAAAAAAAAAAAAGAAAAAAAGTGATTTTTTAAACATAGAATTCTTTGTTAACGAACCGAAATTAATTTCAATTAATTCGATTTATAATCAACATTTTAATAAAACAAAACCAAGAAAATAGACGAGCAAGACGTTTTCATTGAATAATCATGAAAATCAAATAAATCGGAACTTTTTAATCGAGTCTCCTTAAGTTTATTTTTTTTGCTGCTTTTGAATAAATCATTATTTGGACGATTCCGTAAATTTTATTGCAACTCATTTGATGAAACGAACATTTGAAAAAAAAATATGTATACCATCGAGAAAGAAAAATGTTACTTTGTTTCTTTTAAAAATGAATCATTATTTAGATTCTTCTATCATTTTTATTGCAAATCATTGAACTTATTGAAAATATGTTAGAATAATTTTATTTATAATATATAATAGCTGTATATAATAGAACGAAAGTTTCGTGAAATGTACTCTCGAGAATAATATTCATATCATGAAATAAAAATGATTCATTTTTCATGATTATAAAATGAAGACCTTCTCAAGGACAGGTTTTCATTTCGTAGGGGTCGTTGAATGTTGAATTATACCAAAAAGATATGATTATGGGTTTCTTCTTTTCTTTTTTTTTTTTTAATTCTCTGAAACGAAATGGTATTCTATACTCAGACGTAAAAAAAGAATGAATAAAAGGTGTACTAAAACGAAAATGAAAACGAAAACGAAAACGAAAATGAAAACGAAAACGAAAATGAAAAAATGTAAGAAGAAGAAGAAGAAGAAGAAGAAGAAAGAAGAAAAAGGAATGCTACTGATGGTAAGGAAAGGTGGTGGAGGTGCAACTCAGTCAACCGTCATGTATACAGGTATATTTCTACGGCTTCTAAAGCGATATAAGGCATTGCTCGTATCTACGAAACTTCAGTTTGCTCAAAGTTACTCGGACGGATAGAAAGTTGCCAAATCGGTTTGCAATTGGAGAACTTACTTAAGTCCCTTTTACTGTCACTTTAATTTTTCATTTTTTTTTTTTTTATATTTTTATACTTCTTTCCTTCTTTTTTTTTTTTTATTCTAATTCTACTATTTATTTTTTTTTTTTATAATTATACTAAGTGTTTAATTTTCTTCGTTGGTGAGAGTGATCAAGAAAATTTCCGATAAGATCCGATCGTTGGCCATTCTTTTACTTTGTTTATTTGAAAATAATCGAAATATTTTTTATTTCATTCTTACATTTTTTCCCAACGTGCATCAAAAGCAGAAGTTTACGAGAGTGTTAGACAAATTTTTGTATTAAAAGTACGTGAGCATTATTTTATATTATTTTGTTTGATTATTTGAGTTTTTTCGTGTGTGTTTATAAGATTGGATAGATGAGAAATCTTAAATAATTTAAGAACTTACTCTAGTAGCACAAAATATTGAAAAATATTGAATACACACACACACAAACACATGTGAATTTATTATTATATTAAATTAAATTAATATTTATAATTAATTTAATTATATATTATAATTAAATTAATACTACAACATAATTCATTATCAATTATATTAATTATATTAACTCAAAACTTAACTTATTAAATTAATTATATTAATTTATTAAATTATAAATAACATTATTAGTTAAATTAATTTATAATTTATTAATTTAATATTAAATTGATTTTATTAAATATTATATTAAAAATATATTAAATAACTTTTTAATATTAAATACACACGTATTTAATATTTTTCAATATTTTCTGCTACTACGGTATTTTTATATACTATTTCTTTCTTTCTACTTGCTATTTATATTTTTACTTTACATTTTATTATTTATTATTTTCTATATATTACATTTTTTTCTCTTCTCTTCGTTAATAAGTGACAAAGAAGATCCGATCATTTTTTCAAATATTTACTAGTTTTATTTTTCAAAATAATCGATATATGTTTTATTACCTACTCGTAACACTTTTCCCCCTCGTGCATCAAAATTCAAAATTTTATGAGAGAGTGTTATACGAATTTCTTTTTATATTTATTCTATTTGTGTATGTGTATGTGTGTGTGCGTGTGTGTGCGTGCGAGAGAGAGAGAGAGAAAGAGAGAGTTTATTCGGTTGGAATGTTAACAAATCACAAAGAAAAAATAACCTTGTATCATTGATCAATTGATGGTGAAAGAGGCTAAACGTACCAAAATATAATGTATCCTTTTTCGTATAACAATCGACGAGGTTATTCCAAACGTTAAAATGAACGACAGTAGTACAGTTGAAGGTCATAAACGAGTTTACTATAGTTTTCTCCTTGTGCATGGTTACTTGTCTCTTGGTATCTTTCAGAGAACGTAACAGAGAACAAAAAAAAAAATATAGTAAGTTAGCATAAAAAAAACGAGCCTCGACAATTTTATTTCATTGATTACAATTTTTATGATATATATATATATATATATATA